CAGCTGGCCTGGGAATATTTACCAATTTGGGGCTATGATTTGTGAAGAACTCTTTTGAGTATGCTCTGAAGGGAAGAGTCTAAGGCATCTGATACTGAAGACTGCTGCTTTATCTAAAGTTGGGGTAATGCAATAAAATACACTGCTGTGTGACACTGAACAGCACTTGCTTGTATTTGTGTAGTTGTGGGCATTGTCACTGAATTCCTATGAATATTGGTTTGAATGATCTTTTGATGGTAATTGTAACTTCAGTTTGTTTAAATAACATTGCTTGCAAATGCCTTAAAATTACTAGCTAGAATAAAGATGCTAATCAAGAAGCTGGACGCGAGCCAGCAGTGTGTGCTTGTTGCCTGAAGGCCAGCTGTGTTCTGGGCTGCATTAAAAGAGTGGCCAGCAGGGAGAGGAGGGTGACTGTCCTCCTCTACTCAGCTCTTGGGAGGCCCCATCTGGAGTACTGTGTCCAGGCCTGGGGCCTCCAGCACAAAAAAGATGTAGAGCTCTTGAAATGATTCCAGAGAAGGGCTGGAGCACCTCTCCTTAAGAAGAAAGGTTGAGGGAACTGGACTTTTAGCTTGGAGAAGAGAAGACTCTGGGTAGACTTCATTGTGGCCTTCTAATACTTGAAGGGAGTGTATAAACAGGAGGGGGAAGGGCTGGTCACAAGGGTGAATTATGATAGGACAAGGGGGAATGGTTTTAAACTGAGACAGGGGAGGTTTGGGTTAGATATTAGGAGGAAGTTTTTCACACAGAGGGTGGTGACACACTGGAACAGGTTGCCCAAGGAGGCTGTGGATGCCCCATCCCTGGAGGCATTCAAAGCCAGGCTGGATGTGGCTCTGGGCAGCCTGGTCTGGTGGTAGGTGACCCCGCACACAGTTGGGGGCTGAAACTTGATGATCATTGTGGTCCTTTACAATTCACGCAGTTCTATGATGAAGTTTCCATAAAGCAGTTTTATGGGCAGAATCTGCACTATTTGACTCACGGGAGTTTGTTGTCGTGTAGCCTTGTCTTCTATTTTGGCAGTAAATAGGTAGACAAAATACTGTTGACACATGATACTGAGAAAATCTATTGGTTAGCCAGCCTCTGCTTTTAGATTAAACTCTCATGAATTCACCATCATGAAGTAGTAAATAAATCAATTAATATTGAATATACAGGTAAGATGAGCTTTATACGATCCAAACCTTTTCAAATATGTTCGTTTTGGGAATTAAACTTTATATTTCCTAACCCAGTGGTAATAAATCTGTATGGTATCTAACCTTCACAGTGACTTCAGTGGGTAGCTTCCATTGCATTTGACCATAAGCTGTGATAGAAAGTAATTGCAAGCAGTTCCTATAGAATAACCATTCCACTATAACAGCTATTTTTGCAATAGCTTTTTTGTTAGGATCTTTAAGCAGTTTTACTTCACGTTATACTGTGCCTTACTGGGATCTTGCCTTAAAAAAACCGAGACCCCAGATCATTCATAAGATACATGCTTTTAAGAACACAGTCTGTAACAGCCAGAAAGTCTACTGTCAAATGAAAGAGTGACGTGAATTGGGGGAGAGGATGCTTTTTTTTACCAGTGAACCTATATTGTGTGGATGTTTTCTTGAGCCTATCTATCACCTATAATCATCTATCACCACTCCCAAGTACTTGACGTGCACCCTGCAACCAAGACCTTGTATTTGAAGTGAAATTCTATTAGAATTGAAAAAAGGTGAAGTTTGACCTAAATTATACAGTGATTCCTTGAATTAAACCTACTTCCTGAAGTACAGCCATTATTTATCTACAACCAAGTAGTAGCAACACTAACTTCCTTGTAAATAGTTGTAGTACAGCGACCATCTACTGTATAGGGAGAATACTTCTTTTGTCAGAAAACAAAATAGCAGTAGGTGAAACAGAGTTTATAAGTGCAGTCCCATTTTATTACCTCTTCAAAGGCAAAAGAGCACACTTGGTAGTATAACAGTGTTGTAATATTCCCGCTCACTTCCCCTGTGCCGCAGCGAACCTTCCTGTGCTGCCTTAAAATTCTGTCTTCAGAAATACCTTCCCGGTCGTCCATTAGCAATCTTACAGCTAACTCAGCACTTAAATATCTTGAAGTCTGCTGATGGCCTTTTGGACTGGGAAAAAAGGGTGTGAGTATCTGCTTCGTTCATGGCACTGAACAAATGAGATCTGATGCAACTACCTACCATGAACTGCTGTGCCTGGACATCACACTGCTGCTAGGGATGGCGAGAGTAATGTGCAAAAAGAAAAAAAGGCTGAAAGTTATGGAAGTGTTACCTATGTTACCCATCTTATGCCATTTAAAAAATTAAAGTTGAAACAAAACATTCAAATTAAACAACAGTGGTAGAGTATTCCTGGGAATGTGGCAGCAAGATGGGAACTTATTAAAGGATGTTTTCCAGTTCCTTTGGGTTAGTGTCTGCATAGTAACAGAACCATCTCACTTCAGAATTGAGCTGGCAGGCAACTGGGTCTGTTCCTTTAATAAGTTCCCTGTGCAGTTAGAGATGGCCTATTATTGGAGTTCAACACTTTTCTTTCTTCAACATAACACTGCAAAATGCACATATTTTTTAGTTGTAGTGGGTACATGGGATGTAACGAGCACAGCATACATCCTTAAGAAAGGATTGCATATGCCTTCCGTAGAGAACTTATGCTCTTGGCTGAGACAGGAAAAGCTATTTCCTTTTCCAGATATTTCTTCTTCATTTTTTGCTGCCTTTGTTGAATTAATTTCAAAATATGGACAGAAAGCTTCCATCCAAATAATCAGAGTTAAGATGCAATTAGTCTGAATAGAACATCCCTACTAACCTGCTAAATTCATTTTATTTATAATACTAAATGTACATATATGAGCAGAATTGTTTGTGTGCTTAAATAAAACTGATGTAGGGAGACTGCCCTGGGATCTTCCCCTGCACACGTGCACTGCCTCATTAAAATGGGAGCTGCTGTGTGTGGTTAGCATGTTAGGTGACAGGTTGCCTCCTCCCTCTGCCCTGATGCACAGAATATGATGAAAGTAATGCTTTCTTGTCTTTCAAACTGTGATAGCACACTATTTACCAGGTTGAGAACTATTTCTTAAGCAGTATCCTCAAATAGTGGAGCTGGGATCCACAGATAGTCCTGAGAAATGGGAGTCCAGTGATCCAGTGTTCTTTTCAAGCAGCTTCTGCATTCCTGCAACCCTGACATGTGAACAGGCCTATAGGAACCCAGCAGGATTTCCCTGTAGTTGGGGAAAAAGCCAACCACTCCTACAAACCACTATGCATTGAGCACTGCCAAGTTCAGATCTGTAGCACTGTGATGATGGTTTAAGAAATTGGATATCACAAAAGCACAAAGGTGGTGCGTTTCCCTTTCAGCTGCTGATTACCTGCTGCTCTTTCTTGGAAAGGTGAGGTTGGTGTGGTTATTAGCTCCATTAAATGCAACTGGATTTAGATGCTGTCAACTTCTAGTTAATGTGGAGGCAAGAATAATGGGGTGCAAAGGTGTCTTATTTTAATGCAGAGATGTAGGTGGGAATTGCTAAGGACACAATGGGCTGAAGTACTGAGCTAGAGTAATGGGAACTACAACTATCATTCATGACATAATTGGCATGTTAAATAGTTCTCTTAGCATTCTCCCCTTTCAGTCTCATTTGAACTGTGGAAATATTTTGTTTTGTAAGTTAAAGGCAAATACATTAAAGAGTGGAAATACTCCTGTTATTGAAGATAGAAATAGCCATACTTGAAGTAGTGTGAACTGCAAGAAAAAAAACATTGTTCAGAAAAAGCAGATTTCCAAACCAAGCTGTTACACCTGAGAGACCTGGTAAATGTCGAGCAAAATTTGCTGTTAATATCAGCTAATCTATGAGCATGGTGTGAAAATTGGACTCTAGCTTTTGAAGCACTCATGCTTGAGAACAGTGACCAGTTGAATTTGAGAGTCCAAATCATGACTGCAACAGGATGCAACTGCTTTCCCGTTGCACTGTAGGTCCTGAACCTAGTCTGTTGCACTGGGGGGGAAACAGGAGGGGGGAGAGGGGAAGGGAAAAAAAGTGGGCATAAATCTTTAATAGATGGCATATAGCAAGAATAGTCTTTGTCAAAAGCGGAGGCACCACAAGAGGGTGCCATTTCTTTGATTTTCATAGTGTCTGATCACGTTTCTGTTCTGGGTCACTTGATCTGAGGCTGATAAAAAGCACCCAGATGTCTCTTGCATGTAGCTTTGCCTCTGAGAGCTCACAGTGCTCATTTATAGCACTGATCTAAGAGGAGGAATATGTACTGATACACCACAAAGCACTGAATACTAACACAAAATGAGAAGGCAAATGGTTTTCAACTAGCTGTTCTGGGAAATATAACTCCAAAGGTACTTTGAAGCATCATGTTTGTAATTCATCAGTCCTTCTAAAAATTTGCATGACACACAGCCTAATTAACGTGCAATAGCAGATGAATATGATGCTATCAGGTCTGACTCGTGGAATCTTTCCTACAGAAATTACCTGCAGAGTTTTCATAGTTAGGCTAGCTAAAAAAGTACCTTCTGTGTTATAAGATGTAAAGAGTTATTTTAAAAATCCAAACAGACCAAAAGAACACCTACATCTTCCAATCTTAATTCCATTGAGCTAGGTAATTGTATTTGGAAATTCCCACTGAAAAGGAAAAAAAAGAAAAAAAAAGAAAATGAAAATATTAGAAATTTTTCGCTCCTAAGCGTTAAAGTAGTTGTATGAAAATACATCCGTAAGAATGTATCGGAGTAGGCATAGCCTGTGGTGGGAGGCTGAAGTGTGCCAGACAAGAGAAAGGGAAGTGAACAAATATTTAAGAGAAGAAAAAGTCATTCAATCTTGCATCCAGTGCTACTTCACCATTCGTCTCATTATATACTTTCTAAAAATATACAGTTTATACATGAAAGACACTACTTAAGAGCCACAATGATGCCTCTGATATTTCATTTATTTCCATAACTTTTCATACAGTTGTATTTTGTATATTACTTCACCACTACCACCACCACCTTTTTCCCTCTGTAGCTTCCAGCTTGGTATTCAGTGAAAGTATTAAAGAAGTGGTGAGGTCTCACTGCTCTGGGGAGGTTGGCAAGAACATAAACACAGAAACTAGAGCGTTAAAAATCTGTCAGTGAGACAGCAACAGTGTCAGGCATGGAACTTCATCGTGTGTATTCCTGTCTTTTATACTTGCAGGAAAATAAACATACAGCTTCTAACAAAGCTATAAATTAATTAATCACTTGTTAGATGTGTCTGTCTCCATGTTTGGCAGTAAAAATTGAAAAAGAAATTCAATTACTGTGCATGATCCTTGATGCGATTTTCAAAAGCAGGCTGTGTTTAGATACTAGCACAATTTTATGTTCACATTCTGAGGAATTTTAAAATTATTGACAGTTTTTTAAAGCTTCATTTTTTATGTCTTTTATAGAGCCATGACAAAAATACCAGAGTAGCAAACCAGGTCTTAACATTGTAATTCACTTAAATATTGGGAAAAAAATAGTTTCTTTGATTAACTTAAAAACAATTAAAATAACACTTCGTAAGCATGATGTTGCTAAGGGAATTTCTGCATGTATGAGTTAGAAACTTATTTTGGAAAAGCCTCACCCTGAAAAAATGGCTCTCTCAATCTCCAGCACTATCTCAGAAAGAGATTTTTCTAGGCTGACAGTAATAAAGCTTTCTGGTGCTGTAGGAGGCTCCAGAGCATCAAACTGAGACTGAAGTAGTTTCAGTGGCATGAAATGTCCTCTCCTCTTCTCCAGGCGGTGAGCAATGAGGTCTGCAGGACCATCCAGATGAACAAAGAGGATATTCAGTGCTGCAATTTCTCCTGGTTTCTCTGACTGACTGTTTCCAATTGCAGATGCTCCACTGACTAATATATGTCTATAGATTTTCTTCAGTGCTGAACAGGCCAGAACTGCATCTTGTCTAGATGATTCTTCTCTATCAAAAATGACAACAAACAACACACTGTCATGAGAGACAAGCCCTGTATCCTTGTAGAGGACAGCTTTGGGAGTACTAGCAGGCCACACCAATGCCACGTGCTTCCACATGTCTGCAATTATGCTTCAATTATGCAACAGTGCAATTAACACACTGTTGAGTTGATTTTGGGACGTTTCTGGAGTTAGGCAGCAGCTTTGGCTGGCATGTTACAAAACACAGTGGATCTAACATAATAATCAAGACAAATTTCTCAGGAAATGAACCCATGCTCTAAAAAGATAAGATCACTTGGTATGCACATGGAAGCAGTGGCCACTATGCAAAGCTAGAGCAAGAAGAGTGTGAGGAGGAGATCACATTCAGAGGAAAGTGGCTAGACGTGACATTTTTGAAGAATAACTTTTGAGATGATGTATATAAGCAAAATTCTGTACATTTTTTGAAAATAAGTGGCTGATGTTACACAGTGATTCCCTTTCCATCTACCCCTAATTGATTCTGTGATCCAAGAAGGAACATAGCATACTGGCAGCAGACCATAAGTTAAGGGCAACTGTTGGCTGCAATAATCACCCTTTCCATTTGCAGTAAAGGTGCAAACGGGTGAAATGATCCATGACAAGCTGTGCCAAGTGCCAATCTCTATGGTTTTCAGCAGGCACCTTGCCAGACTAAATTTCCCCCTCTCTTTATGTTTCAGACCCTAGGCGCTTCTGAATAGGCAGCAAATTGCCCCAGAGGTTGAGTGCCAGCAGTTTAGCAGACTTCTGCCACATGAAACTCAGAAAATGCATTCAGTGTCCAGATTATTGAAAAATTAAAAAGATATCTGAGATTGGTGAAAATAAAAAAAAAAAAAAAAAAAAAAAAAAAAAGATAAAACCAAGGAAACAGAGTGCAAAAATCAGT